ACCACACTTCGAGATCCAGTATGACTACATTGTCCTGTACTACTTCCCTGCCATCCAGCAAGTCTTTGGCACCGAAACCACCACCAAGAGCACAATCTCCACTCAGGAGAAATCGATGATCCTCAGGGCTCACGTCAACCTGGGACATCCACACATGAAGGAGTTTGTCAGACTTCTTCGAGCTGCAGGCACACGACCAGACATCATTGAGTATGCGCTCAAGGAGTTTTCCTGCGAAGGATGTCTCAAAGAACGACGACAGGCATCACGACTCCCTGCTGCAACGCCGAGGACCTATGACTTCAACGTCGTGATTGGAGTTGACATCCTGTACGTCATGGGCTGTCAGCCAAAGGATGAGCGTCCGATCCTCAATGTCACCTGCCTTGGAACGCTCTACTCCACCCTCTCCATGGTGGATCCCAACCGAAGAACTGGTCTGGTCAACCTTCCTCAGCATCTGGGTAAGAACCTTTGGTACGCCCAGCTTCCTGCTCTATGACCAAGGCCTGGAGTTCCAAGGAGCTTTTGTTGAGGGACTTGAGGAACTTGGCATTCAGCCGATCGTCATCGACCGTGACTCACCTCACCAGAATGGCACGGTTGAACGAAGAGGCGGCCTGTTCAAAGATGTCTACTACAAGACTCGAGAGCTTCGACAACCAGCCGACCTTCGAGAAGTACAAGATATGGTCCATGAGGTCTCATGGGCATTGCAGACGATGACCAACCGAAGCGGCTAGTCACCGGCTCAGCGAGTCTTTGGCAAGCAGCCCAGCATTGCCATGGAGTTGCTCAATGATGCTGGCGCCTTTGAACAGACACAGTCCTCCACGGGTGATGCTGCCTGGCAACGTGCGCAGGAGATCAGGAATGCTGCGCGCAAAGCCCTGGTTGAAGTTGACGGCCGAGAACGACTCAACCGAGCCGTACGTGCACGACCAAGACGCCAAAGAGAAGAACATGAATTCCAAGAAGGAGACCCAGTCTATGTCTGGCGTCAGGGCAAGCGTGGCACTCAGGCGAAAGTTGGACCTTGCTTTGTGGTCCTCCAGAAAGGCAGCGCAATCTGGGTGACACGTCGTGGAGAACTATGGCGCTGCAACAAGACACAAGTTTTCCCCATGGAAAACCAGGCAGCCCAAGGACTTGAATCCATCCCGGCTGAACTCCTTCGTGTCAAGGAACGACTGAGGTTCCATCCAGAAAAGCAAGGCTATGTTGACGTGGAGAAGGAGGGTGACCCACCAGAAGCAGCCTACCGTGACACGACACCGGCACCAACCGTTGGAAACACCCAACGGAGGGCACCAGGAACACCCAGAGCACCCCGGACACCCAGACCAGCGCCACGGACACCGGTCTTTCAAGGACCCCCTGAAGGATTGAAAGCATCTCAATCCATTCCAGCACCGGCCACACCGGCCATTGTCCGAGAGATACCAATGACACCTGTTCCAGTACGAGCATCTACACCAGAACCACCAACGACAGAACAAGCAGGAGACACAGCAGATCGATCACGATCACCAGCACCAAGAGCTTCACCAAAGCATCAAACATCAAGCGCGGCAGAACAAGCAGCAAACTCACCGGCAGCTGCAGAAGCGCCAGCAGTGTCAATGCCTCAAGGCATGCGAGAAGCGGATGAGTTATGGAAGGCCACCGTTGAGAATCAGAGATCAAGATCATCAGCTTCCACTGGGCCTTCAACTCACCCGACACATGAAAGCCTTCGAAGCTGGACGCGCTATGACCTTGAAGCTAAGCGCTACCGTGGCTCCAATAGCAAAGGACCAATCTGGAGTGATGTTCTGCGGCGCCTGACCCTCGACATCGACAAGAACAAGGTCATTCAAGACCTCACCATCACTGATGAGCTCTCAGTGCACAAGCTTCATGAAAAGCTTCCAGAAGGTGTCAAGAACATCGAGACGACCTTGATCTACCGGCCCAAGCCTGGCAATCCTGATCCTGGCAAACCATATGAAGCACTACTTCCTCAGCCAGAGAGCCAGCCAGTCAAGAAAGCCCGACTGAGTGAGCCACACTTTCCAGAAGAAGATGCAAGGCTCACTGATGTCAAGATGACCAAGAGCTTTCAAGCACCTTCTGCAGATGGACGTGTTGCCAACCGCAGCCGAATCTTTGGCATGTGGCGCGCTGACGATGTCACAGAGTGGGGCGACAAGCGGAAGTTTCCTGTGGTGGCCTCAAGCCGTGATCTTCGAGTCTTCCACAAGCTGGAGCACAAGGACATGATGTATGCCCTCAGAGAGCCAGAGTTCTCCTTGGCCTACCTCACCAAGCAGAGCGGCAAAGAGCTCGATGAACGAAAGCTGAACAACGTTGAGAAGGAGATGTTCAGCAAGGCCAAGACTCTGGAAATCACCAACCTGGTGAACTCGAATGCCATCCAGATCATCATCGATGAGCAGGAGCTGGCCAGAATCTGGAAGGATCTTCCTCACCGGATCATGCCGAGTCTCTTTATCATCACCAAGAAGGCCGGCGAAGTGGGCGAAGACTGGAAGGCGAAAGCGCGATGGATCTTGCTCGGACATAAAGATCCTGATGCCATGACCCAGGAGCGCTTTGCACCTACTCCATCCTCTACCATGGTCATGCTCTGCTTGCAAATCATCAGCTCGATGCAGTTTGAGCTCTACATCATGGATGTCTCCAGTGCCTTCGGCCAGAGCGACCCACATGAGCGTGCTGAGGGACCACTGTATGCCTCCATGCCACCAACAGGCATCCTTGGCTATGAGAAGACTGCGCTCATTCGAGTCCTCACTGCCGTATACGGCCTGGTCAACGCACCTGCAGTCTGGCGGAAGACAGTTCGCCGACACCTCACAGAGCTCGGGTACCAGGAGAGCGTCTTTGATCCTTGCTTGTATTACCTGCCACCGAATGACCAGGAGATCAACAATGGTCCGAAGCTGCAGGTGGCAGGAGTGGTTCTTTTGGATGTTGATGCTTTTTGCCAAGGTGGCAATGAACGTCACCAGAAGTTGATGACCGACCTGCGTGGCAAGTTGAAGTTTTGCAAATGGCGCAATGTCTACAACGACACCGCCGAGTACATTGGCCGCACCTTGCGACAGCTTCCCACCTATGAGATCCAAGTCAGCATGAAAAGGTACGTTGAGGAGAAGCTGAAGCCTGTCACCTTGCCTCGCGAGCGACTTCGCGACAAGGCGCCAAGCTGAGCGACCAGGAGGTGCTGTGGATTGGAAAAGAAGCCCGTCCAGATGCAATGGCCATGTCATGGAGCTCAGATGGACCCACCATCGACCATATCTGTCAATGAGCTCAAGGCCACGCCAAATGAGGTGTTGCGCATCCTCCCCATCGGCACCTTGGATGGAATCTGGGTCACCATCGCTGATGCCTCGATGGCCGACGTCGAGAACAAGTCTCAGGGTGGCTTCATCGTCGCCTATGCCAACGGCAAGATCATGCATGGCGAGCGAGCAGACTTCAGCATCGAAGTCGCATCGCCTCAAGAGGGTGATCAAGGCGACGCTTGGAAGTGAAGCCCTGGCCATGGATGATGCCCTTGGAGAAGTTGAGTGGATCAGGGCATTGTGGCATGAAGTGATGAACCCTTCCTCGTCCGTGATGGACGGCAGTCGCTTGGGGCCGGAACCTGCGGCCATGGTGGTGAAGCTCCCTGATGAGGAGCCAGAGGATGTGAGAAGCATCCGAGTGAAGGATGACCACACCGGCGTCCATGTGACAGATGCCAAGGCACTCTACGACCTGTTGCACCGGCGGTCAGGAAATGCTGGACACGACCGTCGAGCTCAAATAGATGTGGCAGTGATCCACGTGAGCGCCAAGGCCATGGGCATCGTGACGTTCTGGGTGCCCGGTAGCTTGATGATCGCTGATCCCTTGACCAAACGCTTGGGCAACAGCGCACTCCTTCACCGCGTCATGAGAGACGCGAAGTTTGCCTTGTGCCGTGAAACGACGGCCGCGGACGACCAAGGTTGACCCAGAAGCTCCCCCTGAAGGATGAGAAACGAAACAGACTTTGCCCGGGTAAACCTTGGACGTCGGCCTGCCGCTACCTAACTGGCCCGAACTAGGGGCCCCTTGAGCGTTCACCTGAAAAGGTGATTCTTCGTTGCGTGCCATCGGCGCTGCGCGTTCCGCTGTTTGTCAGAGTGAATGTTCAGCTGAATCGGGAGAGCTGTGTCGTTTTGTTTTTGGAAAACGTATCGTGTCCTGCAATTCCCTCAGCGAGTGGTCCAAAGTGACGGAAAGGAACAGTGCTCAAAAGACCATAGTAGTGTCCTTGCTCCTAGTAGTAAGGCCAGGAGCCCCTAATAGC